ACAGCAGGGTGTCAAAACGTGTGTCTACATCGACCATTTCCACATCTGAGGAGTTTTCAGGAGTTTGCAACAAGCTTGACGGCATAAACACGTCTGTCATAATCCAGCTGAATGGTGGGTGGCATATTTTGTAGCTCCGTGTCCTGTTATAGTTAGCCTGTTCCTCTTTATGAATAGAAGACAAGTCATTCAACTGCAGTGGCATGAATGGAAAGTCACCAAGTTAAACTGAACTAAAAAACTGCACATTTGTAAATCTTATGTGAAAGAGTGTTTTTTTTTGTTTTTTTTACAACGAGCACCGAGGTTACTTTTACTGGCTAACAAAACCAGCATCCATCCCTTATAAAATAAAAAGCATTCCCAGTTAATTACACCAACATGGCTGTAGGATCCCATGCAGACCCCTTTGCATCCTCTTGTCTCTTGTCTGATCACTGTTATAGCAATTACACAACATGTTTTTTGATTATGTCTCAAGAAAACAGAATTCAATCATGGTACGAGGCGGGAGTTCTTGGCTGATCGTGGGAAATAACAAATGGGAAGTTTGGAGAATATTTATTATCACAGCAAATAGACTGTACTGTTCAAGAACAGAAAGATGGTGAGAAACAACTAACAATGTGCTGGCAAACCTGCTGTAGGCTTCAGGGATACTCAGCACAGACAATTTATTTTAGAAATAGATCCATGAAGATGTGACATCTTTAAAGAAAGTGTTGTCAAGAGAAAGAAGAGGAGCTGCCTGGTTAGTTAGAAATATACTGCAGTAGAATATTATCCAATGAGCTCAAGTTATTCATGTAAACATCATTCAACAAAACATCAAAGTAAACATCTGTCATGTAGCTCTGGTCTGATATTGATGGCACTTCAAACTCTTAAAAAGAAGAAACAAATCAAAAGGTATTAAAAATAAAATAATCTTCCCTGAAAAGTGAACAGTGCCCAAAGAGTGAGCTGCAGCTGGAGCCTGAATCCTTGAAAAGTTTTATTTATCACGCCATGTGTTCTTTGATATAAAGCATGTCAGTGTTTTGGTCACTACAGTGAAACTAAACATCTTGACCAGTAGCATGCAGACTTGGTTCACAGTCGGTTGAAGTGTTCCTCGGCCAGTCCAAACCCTTTTCAGCTGGAATTCTTCACACACATTTAACTGAGCATGAGCTGTGATGTAAAGCCGTTTCTTCATCCTGGCCTTGATTGTATCCTAAAGTAGAGGACAGTGTCTCCATAATTGCAAAGAATTGTGGCATGGAGTCATCCACTAGCCTGGCTATAATAAATGAGGAAATGGCCTTCCTGTCCCATCACACTTGATGGTGTCTGCTTGCTGCCACCACAGCAAACCAGTGTGAAATGTTCTCCACTCAGCTGATCTAGTTACTCATTAAAAATACGCCGCACTGACGCGCATGCATACACTAACAGGGGTCTGGTCTCTCCATCAGAATTAATTGGAGAAAAATGTTGCTCTTATTTTGCATCCTGAAGTCCATGAATCGCGCGCACACACACACACACACACACACACACACACACACACACACACACACACTACAAATATCGTTTCAGTGAAAAGGTTACTATAATATATTCATGCATATGCTAATCAGATACAAGCGAGACATTTATAACACAGACAGCACGGAGACAAACGAGAGAAACAGTCTCACTGCATCTCTCTTTCTGTCCTGCTCTTGCTTCAGTGTCAGTCTCGCCACCCGCTGTATCTGTCCCCTTCAAGATCAATATGTTGGTTACATACGTGGATATGTGAAAGATTAATTCTCCTGAAGAAACTGAGTGTGGAAACTGTGCCACTTAAAGCCTATACGGTTGTAACCTTAGTCAGTATAAAAGATGGATGTAGCTTCCAGTTCACATAAAAGTGAAGCCGTTGCTGAAGTGCCTTTAACCTGCATTCTTTCACATGGCCAGCAGGGGGCGACTCCCATGGTTAGCTTCAGGTGTCTCAGCTTCCTTGCTCTGAAACTTCAGCAGCTACTTTTCTAATTGTTATATCGGCTGAGCCATGAAAGGAGGTGTGACGAGGCAATTGGGGAAAAAAAATGCTCAAGGCTCCATAACAGGACTTCACTAACAAAGGGGTGACATCATGGTGGTTACGTCTATCTGCTATACGGTCTGTGGCAGTAACTGCATGTGTTTGTGTTCATATAGCTTTGTGAGAACAGATTGGGGACTGTGCGATATGACCAAAATCTCATATCCATATAAGACATTTCTGTAAATTCTGTGACTTTCGGGCAACTTGACTTTACCATTTACCATTTATGTTTTCAGCTGGGCGTGGTGCACCTGGAGTCGAGTGTTTTGACGGATGCATGAAACTATGTATTTTTAGACAGGAGGTGTAGCCCCGCCATTTTCTTTGTGAGTATTTATTACACGGCATGCTGCGGGGGAGAGCCTGTTCTAACGTTTGAGTCTACGGTTTATTTTGAGCACTTGACGGCTGTTTTTGCTTCTCATCTGTAAACTCTCTCCACATGCTTTCAGGTGATTCTTGCGTCGGTGGTAGAGGTTTGTCAGGTTTGAGTCTGTGGTGGAGACCTGTTTCCTGCATAATTTGCATAGTACAGTTTTCTGGCCAGTGTCAGACTTTTCAGAACCAAACCATGTCCATGCTGGTCCTCGATTTGTTTGGAGCTACCTGGTTCTGCCTCATCTTCACT